CGATGCTCATTTTTTTATCACATCATTTCCTTGTACGCTAGATGTCTTTTTCAGAAGTTGAGTAGCATTTCTGCCTCTTCCAAGTGAAAAAGAAGATGTTGAAATGCAATGTTTGATCTGGTTCCACAACCTCGCCTTTCCTTATCTAATACATCTGATGGAAGTGCTTTATTCAAGGCACTCAAGATCTGTGAGAACTTTCCGGAAAACCCCGGATATAATAATGTAATATACAACATATAGTGACTTGGATTTTGGGTGCAAAGTAACTGCACAGCGTTTAGCGAGAAAAATCTCACCCTGAGCAGTTGCGAGTGAAGAACACGAGTTCGCTTGGACATGTTTGCACAGCTCAGTGCTGTGATAATAAGCTTCCTGAGAATGAGAATAGCAATGTAAGTTGGAGTGACTGGTAGTGTCATGTAAAGTATTGGGACCAGAGTCTTCCATTTGAGAATATTCAGGTGACCGCCCATGCATTCGGAGCTCGTGTTGTACCCAATATTCTTCTCAACAGCCAACTTGACATCGGCGACACTGTCGCCATCGAAGCAGAAGAGCACCTAGATTCATCTCATGTCATTCTCATGTTTCCAACAACAACTCCCTGAACGACTTACCAGAGCAACAAAAGATGGCAAGTAGACTAGAATAAGGATCGCGATTATGGTGCGCCTTTTTGGATTAGCAAACATCAAAACGTAGTAACGGTAAGCAAATGAGAGCAGTAAGCTTGTTAGGGAATGAGCGATACAATGGAACATCGTAGCGTATCTAAACCGATAACAGTTTTCTATAGGGGAAACATTAATGGAAAATGTATAACAAAGCTCACGATTAGAAGGAAACAATGGTCGGTAAGAAAATAAGTCAGTAATAACAAGAGAAAAATGGGTTACTACTACTACTACTACTACTAGTACTACTACTCTACTACTACTACTACTACTACTACTACTACTACAATAATAATAATAATAATAATAATAATAATAATAATAATAATAATAATAATAATAATAATAAATAATAATAATAATAAATAACAATAAATAATAAATAATAATATAAATAATAATAAATAATATTTAATAATAACAATAATAATAGTAAAAGGATAAAGGATAAAGTCTTCGCCGTTGAATCAATTCCTTTGTGGGATGCGGCACGCATTCTACTTCCATTCAGAATCGTAGTGGCTTATTGAATGCGATGTGGCCTATACAATGACTTGCGGCTGGCCAGCCAACGTACAGGTCAGTGTTTTGTCCTCCCAGACGAAATCTAGTACCAATTTACCGTCCCCGGGGCAGAAGGCTTGGTTGGCCTGGAGGGGGGGTGTCGACCCGGGACTTCGTACCCGGTGCCCGCGAGTGGTAAGCGCGCCACTTGTCACTACACCACCTCCGCCTCATAATAATAATAATAATAATAATAATAATAATAATAATAATAATAATAATAATAATAATAATAATAATAATAATAATAATAATAATAATAATAATAATAATAATAATAATAATAATAATAATAATAATAATAATAATAAAGCGCTGTTTGCGACGGGGCATTGTACTAACATTGCTTCCCTAGTTCCGGTTTACGAATCTCACCATGGTAAAACTTGTGAACGCCTGTGAAGCTGGAGTAAGATCGTCTAGCCACCATCCTAAAACGTGTCACTCGAGAAAAGGCTACCTAGATGGGTGGCACATCTATGAAAAGCCGAATGCCCCCCCTCGTCGACAATCTGCGCCTAATAATAATAATAATAATAATAATAAAAGGACCAGGTATGTTCTTCCAATGCATGTGAGAACTCACCCAATGTGGCAGATCGATGGCCCAATAAATTTACACGGTCCATGATAGAATATGTACAAATCGAGGCCCACACCAGATATTCTTAAAATCGTTGTCAGTTATTGAGCCGTTATACAGATCGGGTCAGAGGCTATGGATTGACTACAATTACAAACTATGAAATGCTCGGGCGCGAAAACGTGTGCTGCCTGGCTGCAGAATAGTGGATCATTACATCAAATTGCAAACCGCCAGCACGCATTTTGATACCAAGGGGCACGAACTCGTTTGTTACATGCAGCCAGTTATTTTTGCGTTGAGTTTTGGGTTCCGACAACACCAAAATTCAAAATGAATTTTTAGCCTTCTCTGACAAAATTTTTGCTCCTTTCCAGATACAGTCCAATCGATTTCTCGGGCATTCCCTCATTGGCTATTGGACTTCAGTCTCATGTTGTCGGTTTCTATGTGAACAGGTAGCATCCTTTAGGCATAAGATGGCCCTTTCCATGTGCGAAGTGAGTCAGCAGCTGCACTAGCGTGCCGCCCTTTCCTGGTCAAAAGTGCACGGGGAAGGGCTGGATGCAGTGATACTGGGGTGCCGCCCTCATACTACGCCAGCGCTATGCTCAGTGACCCGCAGAAGCACTGACACCGAGAACCCGCAGGGAAACACGCACTCACCGCTAAGAAGAGTAGAAGTGAGAGGGTTCAGACGAGCAGCGCATTTGGCCAAGCTCA